CAAATCACTGCACTAAGAACAATAAACTAAATGCACAGAAAGCCACAACTTAGTTCTTCCGTAGGGGGAGTACGTAAGAACGACAAACACTAAGGAAGACAAACAAGGTAATGCTATTGCAAGCGTATCTTGTTTGTTCCCTTCCGTAGGGTTAGCGGCCTTTCTACAAACAGCTCGGGAGTTGACCTGCGGTGAAGCGTAGCGTAAGGAGCGAACTGGTAACCAGTTCTGGGCAAACAGCACTGAAGTCTCACCGAAGCATCACGCTGAATCCAACAGCGCAGAAAGCCGACTTGCACTTGATTGGGTCTCGAGGATATTTACAATTTTGAATAGCTATTTGAGAAAGCGACCTAAGAAAGCAAGTCAAGGGACAGACACCAAAGCAGTACAGAGTTACAGCTACTGCGAGTGATGTAGGACCTCATGTTTCACAGGAGTTTGGTCATTGCAACACTGCTTTTAAAAACAAAACACAGTAGACTTAACTAGATGTTTCAAACCTACTAAGTAGCCATGGGGCATAAGCACAATACCACAATAGAAATTACGCTAAAGTTTGGACCTGTTCTTAAAACTAGAATGACACGAAAATAAAGAACTAAAGCCTCTCTAAAGCTTCCTGTTCCCCACCCCGTATTTTAAACACTTTCATACTTTAAAATAATACAAGATGACTTCTTGGCATTCTTCACGGTATAAAGCATCAGCACTTCTACTAGTTGATGTTAAAGAAAAGGTCAGCAAACCAAAAGGACTGGGCTGTTAAAATTTATCACTTCAGCAGTGATTAAAAAAAAAAGCCACCGTGAATTTCTCAGAAATTATCAAAAATCCTAAGTAGCAAAGTACACATGATATGTTCCAATATCAGCTATAGGTTTTTTCCTAATATCTAATATTAAGGACTGCAAATATAACAGTATAGTAAGCTATTCGCTGTCACTAATACACTAATTCAGATATTACTTCCATCCAGACAGTACAAAATTCCCCTCAATCAGCAAAGCCACCTTATTAAAGCTGATCCTAAATCCATATAGCATTAAGGGGTTTTTATTAGGGATTTTTGTTTGGTTTTTAAACCACTTTTTTATCTGGTTATTGCTGATAGGAATATCTGCACGGACAGTATGTGAGACATGTACTTATGAAGAGAATTTAGGATATGCGGCAATAAGCACAGCCATGCACTACTGACTGTAGATACGTTATTTGTTCCCCACTTTTGGTTTAGCTGAAGAGCTCTAGAACAAGAAGTCATCGTAAAAAGGCTTCATGTTTTAATGACATGTTGACAAGAGGACAACAAAACAAACTGAAGCAATACAACATGATCAAAGGTCATTTATGATAACAGTACTTGCACAAGGCTCCGTAATACCACTGTTATTTAAGCTCCTTGGGGCACTTCTTTTTAATATGTTAGCCTACATCAACCAATTTGACAATAAAACAGAGGTATCAAAACATGAAGATCCTACAAGGTCTAGTGAGAAGGGGACCTGGTAAAGAAAAATCCCTTTATTAGCCACCAACTCAAGGAAAGGTTAATAAACTGAGCCTCTGAGTGCAGAATCACACCTGCTTGTGTTGGACAGCATTCACTGTCCCTGTAAATCTCAGACTATCTGGTTTCTTTACCAAGTCAATATAGTTTGACAAACCTCTCCTATCACAGGTTGTATAAACATGAATATAGAACTAGCTGTTCTCATCAACATGGAAATAATGAAGCCTGCCTTCCAATTTTTTTTTTTATTTTTTTTTTTTAAATCTGCTCAAAATGCTGTTTAGGTAGGCTAAAGAGTTTCAGTGATCAAGTTAGAACCAGTATTTGGGTTTTAAAAGAAAGCTTGCAAATTTAAAAAAAAAAATTCACGACTGGCAGTAGAAGTTAAAAGCAAATGAGAACTCACTTGTACCACCTGCAGCCCGGAGGTGTGCAAATGAGCTTTCTGAATGCCCAGGAAAGAATGCATAAGAAACTCAATTTTGAAGAGAACTTCTAACTTTATACATTCCTTTCCAAAATTAACCAATGCTGAAAACCAGTCTTCCCTCATCTGTGATCTCAAAAATCCTTTCCCCTGTTTTTAATATAACCTTGAATTTAGACTTGAGCTGACATCATTATGTTATTGAGTTTCATCCCATTAACAAACAAAAGTTTACCTTCACTTTTAACAGCTAATGAATTTTTAGAGTTTAAGATTTGTTTTGTACTCAGCAGCCATTCTGCAGTGCTCTCTTCACTGCCAGATTCATCTCTAGCTACACAATTCTGAAACACAGTTTGCAGATGCCTGAGGCTATCCTACAAAGTCTTAAATTAAGAACTCTAGGTAAAATCTCAAGTCACAGCTATTGCATAAGCTGGAATTAGCCTCAAAGTTTAACTAGCTTTGGAAAGGCAGGGGAAATTAATGTGCTGATTTATACAACAAACTCTAAACAAAGCTGCTGGTGAAGGGGAGAGTCCTAACAAAGTAAGGTCAGTTAAGGATGACATCACTGATCTGTTTCAGTTCATGTCTAAACAAAAGAGACAGGTTAACTGCAACGAACAGCATTCAGGAAGTGGAAATGATTTGTCGTCTTAGATACTAGCGAAACTACAAATTCCAGATGGTCTAACATCTCGGTTTGTGTTTTAAAAAATTCTTATTTAAATGTAGTATTTGGCAGTTACGTACAAAGTTTAAAAACTCCATTACTTGTTTATCTGTGTGCATTACACATAAATGAACTAACAGGGAAAGGAAGTTTTCTGTGCTTGCTACAGCAGCATCAGAAAGAAAGGGGGAAAGACAAGCCTTACAGTTAAACTGATTTTTTTTTAAAAAAAGAATGCTCTGGCACAATGGTTTTGAAAATAACAACAGCCGATAATGAGAACTGCAGTCTTGCTGCTAAGCATCAAAATGCTGTATAGAAATCACTTTATACCCTTAAAAATTATTGCACACCTAAACTCAGAAACCCCCAACCACAGCAGCGTAAGTTCCATGCATTGCTAACGTTTTGAAATACGTACCAGCTATCTTCTTCTTCGTTGCAATTTTCAAGTTCTAACACTTTCACTTCATCCAGATCTGTGTTATTCGAAAGACTTTCTAGATCTCCACATTTTTCATTGGGATTTTGTTCATTTATTTTAACTGAGGAATGAATACCTGCAACGACCACGTTTCCCATAAGCTCTGTGCTATTACTTGTATCCATACGTGAAGATGTAACGTTATCATCGGTCTTCATCTCCGCCTTACGCACGTTGGAAGACAATTCCTCAGTGGCACTATTGCAACTATATTGCATTCGGGCATCTATGTCTTTTTTTAAGCAGTTGTTCTCTCCTTCCTCTTTTCTTATTTTGCTTAATTGGTTGTGCAGATCTGCCATTATTTGCAATTCTCGCTTCTCCGTTATCGCATTGATGCTGTTATTAATTTCCAGCCCATTAAGACCAGAGTCATGGTTATCCACACCAGCATGGATCTCGCTCTGCATGTTTGTCCCAAGCATGCTCCTGCTGCTCTTTGTTCTTGGGTGCTGATTCTCGATCTCCAGTCTCCTCACGAGCTCCCGCAGCTTTCGGACCTCCTCTAGCTCTGGGCCAACCTCCTCGGACGCCGGCTCCGTGTCAGGGCCCATGGCAGAGTTCTCCGTTGAGTCTCGTCCTAAGTCAGGCTCCAGAGCATGATCCTGCTGTATGACTGGGGCGTTTCCTGGCACTACCATCATCCAAAACGCACGGTTTCACTGCAAGACATGAAAAAAACCATATAAAAGCTCCACAAAGATGCACAATATTTTAAGCAAACTGGAATTGCATGCCAAAATTCTGACTTCTATAAGCATAAACTAATTATTTTGGGGTACATGGTGGCTGAATTTCATCAACATCTATTGAAAAAGAACAACTGAAATTAGTATGAAACATTTCAACAAACACAAATTACTAGGACGTGCAATTATCACGCTACAAATTAGACTGTATCAAAGGAAGCTGATTTAATCATGCACAATAGTTTAGTTTCCATCTGTTTACAAACAAAATACATGAGAAAAGCACTGACTGAGCAAAGTCAGGAAACATAATCAGCAAGGTGCTGACGTCAGACAATGACAGCATTAAGAAAATGGCAAAAACATCCTTTGTTCATTACCAGGTTTATCCTGGAGAAGCAGAAAAAACTTGAAAACATTTCTGCATCAATTTATACCAAAGACTAAGGACAACAACTAACGACAGGAACTGCAGTTACTGTGCTACCTGAAAATAAGCATAACTGATGTCCTTACTGGCATATTTTCCTGTTGCAGCTAAAAAGAGAGAGGCAAGCTCTCTGATGCAAACACAGTGAAAAACAAGAGAAAAAAAAAAATAGATATATCACACCATAGATTACATGTTGCAGTAAGTTTAACAAAACGAAGCCATCTCTCTGCTTTTCCTGTCCTAAGTGCTACTGTTCACCCTGCGGTTGTGCTGACCAAAGCGGAGCGTGCAGAGCACCGTCACTCAGGCAGCTTTAAACCGCACAGGTACTCAGGCTTCCCAAGAGCCACAAAATAATGCCGGTGCAGGTAACCACTTACAGAATAAGCAAACACTGATTATTTTTCCCTGTGCTAGTGATTTACCTGAGTTTTCAGTTTCAATGCGTGCATTCGTTTCTGAATCGACTCTCCACTGAAAAGCCCCTGATATGAGATGAGTGTTGCACAGAGCAAATAAAACAGATTCCCCTAAAAAATAATTATAAATCCTTTCTATTTTGCAGGAGGACTGACAGACAGAGGAAGGAGTTCGACAAAACAGCCAATTCAAAGTTTAGAAGATTTGATGCAGGCACTACAACTGCATTTGAACCCTGAATTTTTGGGGCTGCAGATGTTCTTTGCTGTCTGAATATCTCTCCTGTTTTTAAGGCCTAGCTGCCAGCAGGTAGAGGAGACCACGGAAATTAGATGTCACACAAAGCAAGCAAGGTTAAAAATACAGACACCCCCATACACACTTTAGCATCTTCCCATTACTTAAGTCACTTGTAACAGCAGTAACTGAGCACATTTCCTACAAAGTACAGTTTTGGTTTGTTGTTGGTTTTTGGTTTTTAGGTTTTTTACTTGATTGCTGTTTTTTTTATTTTGGTGCTCTACATGCAAGATGAAAATTTTAGGCTTACATTTGAATTAATAACGAAGACAAACAGCACTTATGAAGAGCTATAAGTGAACAGAGCTGACTGCAGTGCACTTTAAACACAGCTTTCAAAATCATGCCTAGAAGAAGCATTGCTGAAGTCATTTTGACGTAGCGAAAAGAAATTTAATTTGTAGTAACCAAGGAATCCAGTTCCTACTCATACGCACACTTCGAAAATCTCCTTGTGTGCATTCTCACTCCTACGAAACCATCCAAGACGTTTCAAAGCTCTTGCTCAGTAACTCACTGAAGATGCACCAGCGGGGAGTTTAAGAGTTCTACTGTCAAAGCAAAACAATGACCCAAGGAAGGGGAAATTAATGAGATCCATCACCCGAAAAATCCGTTCCCCTCCACGGCTTTGGAGCAGCAAAACCTGCGTTTTAATTCAAGGGGCAGGGGGGGAACAAACACGTTAAAACCCTTTAGCCTTTTCCCACGACCAG